CGACACAGGGGCTACTTGTGATCCGCAGGGCGCGTGCAGGCCTGTCGAAGAGTGGGCGGGAGTCGCATCACGCCTGAGCACAGTGCCGCCACTCGTGGCACGATTTCCGGGTCGACACCAGGAATGGAGTCCACGCCACACCGACAAGCGCCTGTTGTGCGGTGTGTGCGCCTTCCTTTTCCTCCGGGACCTCCTTCCAGCGCCGTCGCCTCACTGCAGTGAGGGAGCCCGCGTGCCAGGCATTGGCGCAGTTTTGCGGGAGGGATCGTGCCATGACGGCATCAGCGTCCGCTTTCACGTTGCGTGGGATTCCGCAGCGTCATGGGAAAATACGGAGCCTGCTGTGCGACCTCGATCCGCCAGTGAAGGCGGCATGGCGCCAATCTCCTCGGCGACGTCGTCGTGCGCCGCCGGCGGGCTAAGGCGGAGCGCCTCGATCGCCGAGAGGGAGCCTGGCGACAGGAACTCGTGTGGGCGATTTTGACGCTGCCAGGCGGGAGAATGGATAAATTTCCGCGGCCGTGCTTGGTGAAAAGACGCTCCGCTCGGCAGGGCCACGCAATCCCGCCAGCAGCCGCGCGGTGAGGCCCACAGGCAGTCCGACCGACCGGGGAGGCGAGAGGCAGCGCGGCGGATCCAGGCGCATGCTCAGCGAGAGACAAGCCGTCCGTCCAGCGGCCTGGGTCATACGGTCCCAGAGAGGCGCGGACCGTTTCAACGACCGATCGTCTGACGTTGTCCGGGGTGTCATTGGCACGCCGCGGTTGGAAGACGCCCGCCTCGTTGCAGCTCACAGCGTCCCAGGCGGCAAATCGCTGCTCAGCATGAGGGGCGCGGATGTGGTGCGGGGAGATCCCCATTTTACTGCAAACGCGCCGCGGTTTCTTGGGGACGGCATCCCTCGGCAGCGGGATTCCCGTAGCTGCCTTCCCACGCATCGACGGAGGCGTGGCACTGTTTGCATTTCGGTCTGGTTAAAGAACTTTTGTTTTATTCTCATGGCGATAGTGAGGCACGCGCGTCTCAGAGCGCAGGACGCGTCGCAGGTGTGCAGCATCGTTTGGAATAACCGATGGGTGTCGGTCCCCGTGAAGGCGTCATCAACGACCCCGGACGACAGCAGGAGTACATCGAGTTTATTGTCAGGGCGTTTGGTTTCATTCTCTTGCAGCTTTTTTGGGAGAAGGTGGGAGGTTGAGGTCATCAGGACTGGGTTCTTTTGAGTGGCTGCGTTCCGCTGACTTGCGGCCAGTCGTGGCACTCTTTTGGGTTCGGCCGCTCGTCTCTTTTGTTTAATTCCCACCGCAGCACGTGGATAACACTGATCCGAGGAACATTTGTTTGACCGCGTGTGGGCTGCTGCCGTGCGTGGTGCATGGAATATTTGATTGTGTGGGGAGGTGCGTTGGGGTGACGAATACTTCTGTTTGGCGTGTCGCGGTGTGTCGGAATGGTGTTCGGAAAACATGTGAGGGGTGTTGTTTGTGGTTTGTTTCTTCTCTGGTGGAGCCGACTTGTGTGCGGGGATTGTGGCATTGCTGGCTGACAGTTCCGCGTCACTCTTCAGAATTCCTGGATGTGCTGAGGAACGACGGCTGGCAACCAGCGTGTTGTTGCTGCTGGTGGGAATAAGTGCATGAGGAATAGGCCATTTTCTCTTTTCCGTGCTGGAGCCGATGGACTGGCACGAGGGCACCGGCTGCAGGCTGCCTGCCAGCACGTGTGAGCAGCGGATCCATGCACAAACCGACGCTTGTCGCAAGAGCTTGTGCGATCACAGTGGCCTTTTGTTGCGTGCTTTTGTGGACGTCAGCCCACCGAAGAATGTGTGAAGCAAACGGCTGACTGCACGCGAGGAAAATAAGTGCGTGCACTGTGCCGTGTTTCGGCGTCGATGGCAGAGCGACAGGAAGCCCGTGCTGGCAACCGAGATCGTTGCGTCGCGAGGGATGTCGGTGTTGATTTTGGATCGTCGAGGGCGAAGTGATTTTGCTGCTGTCCGTGTGTGTGGCCACTCCGGCGGAGGTCGAACACAAAAGGGAAGGACGCAGGCACTGCGTGTGTGTGCGCAGGTGCCATGCAACAACGTCACAAGAAACATGCTGCGACTCGGTGACCCTCACATAGCTGTGGTCCTCACGAACAGCCGAGGCACGGCCCACATCGATGCACTTGGTGGACGGAGTGAGGCATCTTTTGAGGCGCAGCAGGGAACAGGATGTGTTGACGCAGCCACGACGTGCATGGAGCGTCACGATGGCACAGTCAGCAGTGGCTGGTGGAATATTTACTTCTCGGAGGAAACAGAGAGAGAGAGAGAGAGCTGCTCCTGCTGTTGGCGTCGTTGCTGCCTTTTGTGGCCTCCCATGCCGATTATTGTCTGTCCGCTGATCATGGGTGGCATGCCTCCACTAGTGACGTCGTCCGCAGGCATTTCACAGCAGCAGCGAAACACGCATCATGTCGCATGCTTTGGCTGTGGGTGTGGTGTCGTGAATGCAGCCGGCATTATTTTGCCCGACTCTTTTTCACTGCTTTGCGACAAATAGATGCGTCGCCGCCCGACTCATTCGCTGCAGCTCCGTGCGTTGTACTGCCGGCACAAGACTCTCCTGTTGTCTGACGCCTGGCTGACAGCCAAACACCACAGCGTTGGGACATGCAAGGATGTGGATTGCCGCTCACGGTGTTGGGCACCGCTGTTTGGATGCGGCGGCCACACGGGCGGATGTATTGTGGCACAATCAAATGCGTGAAATATGCGGAATCACAACAGCCGCAATAATATCGACGGTGTGGCACCACGGAATATGTGAGAGGGGGTGATGCATGATGAATCAGAGTGGGCGGCATGCGAGGGAAGTGCACCGCGACGGAGCGTCATCCCGCCCTCAGCCTGCAGGGGAATGTACGCCCACAAAATATATGGACGAGACACCACCAAACACGCATGCCCTCCATGCAGCAATAAATAGGAGCGAAGGTGCGTTGTGGTGCGTGGAGTCCACTCACATATTATTCATTTCCACCGCAATAAACGGCGAGGAATCAGGTGCCACGGCAACGAAAGGAAAAACAAACATCTATTGCAACACTTTACCAGCGAAAAGCAGGAACAACACAAACCGAATTCTTGTCTGCACCAACACAAGAAAACTTTACAGGAAGAAAGCAAATAATAATTGTGCACCCTGTAGAAATCCTCAACACACGACCCAGGCATGAAGATTTACTCTTTGCAAAGCAAAAAAAAATATGCGGACATCTGCCAATATTCAAACAGAGACAAAAATAAATGGGTGATTGCTTTATTTTATTTATTGCGCTTATATTTGTGTGTGCGGCGGCGGTGGCGGTGACAGGGGCTGCATGGAATAAGTTGTTTACGCTGAATATAAACGAGGTCGAAAAGCAACTGAATTGTTTGTCACGAATATTTTCTGCAGTTCCCGTGGACCAACAATTCGCGTGGTGTGCGTGGATCTCCTTTTTATTATTGTTGCTTTGCTGTTTTGTTGCTGTGTGCGCTGCTCCTCCTCTCGTGTGTGTGCGTACCCTCCGTGAGGGGTGTCGACACGACGGACCGCTCTCGCCGTGTGTGCATGCGGTGGAGCCTTGTGTGCCGCTCCTGTTTGCTTCTCCCTCTTCCATCTGTGTGTTGGTGTTGCGACAGGGCTGCGTGTGTGTGTGTGCCTGTTGCCGTGGATTGGAGTGTGTGTCGTGCGTGGTGTGCGGCGTACGGTGCATGCCTGGCTGCTGCCCTCTCCTCATGTGGTGTGTCCTCTGTGTGTGTCTGCCGCACCTCTCGTCTCCCCTGTTGCTCTCCATGTCCCTCACTGTGCAGATCAGCTCCACACCACCGAACGACCACACTCACAATGATGACGTGCCGTCTGCTGTGCGCCCTGTTGGTGCTCGCCCTGTGCTGCTGCCCGTCCGTGTGCATAACAGGGAGTGAAGATCCAGGTGGCTTCGGTGAGCCGGCCTCACCGGACGCACCAGGTCCGGGGAACAGTGCTTTAGGTTTAGCTACTCGTAAAGTACCGGAAACGGTTATGACCGATGCGTTAAATAAACCACTTACGGCCATTTGGGAAGAGCCATCAGAGAAGTCGTCTACTAAGCAGGGAGGTACAAGTGTGTCAGGTCAGTCAGGGTTAGACGGTAAAAAAAACCATCCGACAGTTTCAACGGATAAGTCTCATGAGTCGTTGGTAAACAATCTAGAGCAGGCTACGGATGAGTCAAAAAATAACAAAGAGGCTAAGGCACAGACACCACAAACGAATACCACGACAACGACAACTACAACTACGACAACGACCACAAGGGCACCCACTACAGAGTCGCCAACCACGACGACCACCCGCGCACCGTCACGTCTTCGCGAAATCGACGGCAGCCTCGGCAGTTCTGCGTGGGTGTTTGCCCCGCTGCTGCTCGCCGTATCCGCGCTGGCGTACACCGCTGTGGGCTGAAAGGGAGCGTGGGCTGTGCGTGCCAGCACTCAGCCACGGGGACATGTGTACGCGTCCACTGTGGTCCGATGTATGAAGTAAGAGTGATTATGATGATCGTTTTTTGCTTTGTTTGCCTCCGCTGCCCTGCTGTGTGCTCCGCGTTGCTTCCCACATCCGTCACGTTGAGCGCGTCCCAGACACACTTGTATGCACGACATGCATACAAATTTTTACGTAGACGCACTGTTGAGGATGGGTGCATGTGCACTGGAGCCATTTGGGTGCATTTTTTGTAATTTTTACTGTTTTGCTTTATTGCTGCTTGTTTTCTTTTGTTTTGCACTTGTTTTGTGTGTTTTATTGCTGTTAAATTATTGCATGGCGTTGTGCGTTTTTGCGCTTTAATCGGTTCAACATTTCGCATGAAACGCGTACCGCTGGTGATGTTTTTTACTGTGCCGTGCTTTTTTTTTTTTGCTTTTGCTCTACGTTGACGTGTTGTTAGTTTGTGGTGAAGGCTACACGCAAGTGACGGGAGTGATGGCGATGTTGACTGGCCGTGTGCTGCTGGTGTGTGCCCTCTGCGTGCTGTGGTGCGGTGCTGGCGGTGCTCATGCTGAGGATGATGCAGGTGTAACTTCACCTGGTGCCTCTGCGAGTGACGGAAAAAGTTTTCAGGAACCACCACCAATTGTACAAGGAGGATCACACAACTCAGTTTTAACAGCATCAGATGTTAATGAACAAACCGATGAAACAGATAAAGAAGTCCTTTTGACAAAAGAAGTAGCTGGTTCTGATGAAGTACCACAAACATCAGGAGAAGAAATTCCACCACCATCACCATCGCCAAAGAAATCAAAAGGAGGAGGAGGACCACCACAAGAAGATGATTTAAACCTGGAAAAAGTAGATGAAAATGTAATGCAACCTGAAAAGCAACGCCGAGTAGAAGAAGGACTAGAAACGCTTGGTGATGGTGAAGCGGGAGTAACCAAACAGAATGAAGGAATTGGAGTACAGTCGCAAGATCACGAAACTCCATTCCAAGAAGAGGATACAATAAATGGAGAAGGACATCAACAGACGCATGGAAAAGACCAACAAACAAATGTTGAAGACATACCACCACGTAAATCTGCGGGAGATTATTCTTCGGGAGAACACAAAGGCAATGATGGTTCCAATGAAAAAGAAGAAAAAGAAGGGGAAGAAGGTGTTGAGGGTCGTGAAAGACATCGGACTCAGGAGAGAGAGGAGGCTGCACATGTCTCAGGTGCCCCGAAAGTAAACTCAACTGATATTCAGCAGGAAGTCCAACGCACACATGCAGGAGAAACTCCGACAGGAATCAAACAAAAAGCTGGAGAAGAAAAGGATGATGAAACAGAAGAGGAACGAGAGGAACAAAAGAAACAAAATCAAGAGAATCCTCCAGGCAAAGTACAAGAAACCATAACTGGTGCAAACGCCACTAATCAACTAAACACGATGCCTGGCGACAATGACGGCAGCACCGCGGCCTCCCACACCACCTCCCCTCTTTTTCTTCTTCTTCTTGTTGTTGCGTGTGCGGCTGCTGCGGTGGTGGCCGCGTGAGAGTGAGGGAGAGAGAGCCGCGCACCGCCCGCACACACACTCGTCCTTCTCTCACTGTGTGTGTGTGTTTTCTTTTTTTTAAATATTTTTCTGTTATTTTTGTCTGTTCGAGTCTTTTTTTTTATTTATTTCTTACTCCCATCCCTTTCTTTTTTGCTTTTGGGACAATCACTATGGACGTTCTTTTCTTTTTACTCTTCCCTTTTAATTGTTTGTTGCTGCACTCTTCCCGTGAGGGGTGCCGTGTGTTCCGCCCAACCGCTCCACTCGCACACCACCGACACGCTCACGACGACGGCCCTGTGCGCCTCGCCTGCTGCGCGCTGAGGGAGCCGTGACGTGTGGGCGTGCGACGAGGGCCTGTGGGGCGGAGCACACATTTCTTCCCTCTTGTTTTGTTTTCTTGCGGCCAGGGCGGGCAGACACCCGCAGCGCCACACACACACACACAGCCACACCCTGCCGCCGTGTTTTTCTTCTTGTTCTGCTTTCTTTTCTGTGGACGGGTGTGTGCCGTTGCCACCGTGTGGTGATGGAGGGCGGAGAGCTGTGCCGGACGTATTGCCGACGTATCTCTGTGCATCCTCACTTTCTTCTTTACTTAATGGCTGTCTGCTGCACACTGTAATGAGCGAAGTGTTTCTCCCTTTTGCTTGTTTTTTGTTGCCCACGCGCGGTGCCGGCCCTGCGGCTGTGCGTCCCACGGACTGCATGAAACGAGGATTGGAAGAACATGTCGGATGCCGCGTGAAAAGTTGGGGATGCTGTGTGGGCTGGTGGAACATTAAAGTCCTTTATTGACTTCTTTTTATTGTTGAGGGTGATATGTATACACAAACACACGGTTCTATTGTGCTGCTTGGCACATGAAATAAACATCTTTCCGAATCATGGTTTTTACTTTTTTATGTTGCTTGGGAGTTCTTCTGGACTCTCATATTTTTCTTGTTTTGTTTTTGGTAAATTACTACGGTTTATTTTTTTGTTTTTGCTGTGTTCACTGTCGCTGAGTGTCTCCGCGTCCCGTTGGGTGTTTCTCTGCTGGCTGTGCTTTTGACATGCCCTCATTTCTTTTACTTATTGTTTTTGATAGAGGCATTGATGGTCCGCGACGACGATTGTTTGCGTTCCCCATTGCGATGGCACGAGGGTGACTGGGCGCCGGCCTGCTGAGCGCACTCGGAGGAGAGCGGACTGTGTGCGCCGTGCCTCACTGTGAGTGTGGGTGCCAATCCGTCGGGGAGGGGAGAAGTGAAGGACAGCGCTGTGGACTTGTATGCGCCCTGTCCATCTCGTTGCGGCCATGGGTGTGCGGTGCGCAGTGGATGGCGGTGCTTCTGCATGCGTTGTGCGGCGGGCTTTTCTTCTCCATGTCTTTGCCCTTTTTTGTGTGTGGGAAGGTTGTGGGAGAGGATATGTGCGGGAGTGAGCGTGGGTGGCTGCCAGCCTCGCCCCGCGCATTGGGGGCTTCCATACACGTGGCTTTGCTTGACGGTGTTTCGCGGCAACCAGGGTGTGGCGAGGAGGAGGATGGGGAAGATCTGTTGTGGGCAGAAGGTGGATGGACAGGACAGTCCTCTTCCGTGTCCTTCCCTGTGCTGTTGGCAGTACATACTGAGAGCGTAAATTTGGGCGAGTGCGGGATGAAAGGTTTATGCCGCTTTGTGCGTGCTACTCAATCGTCGTCATTGCAGGCTGTCGTCACGGTGCGTTGTGGTGCGGTGCCGTTTGATGAGGGGAGGACGCGGTGCCACGGCTGCTGCGCACCACGACCATTTATTGTCTCTGCACCGGGATTTTTTTTTTTGCGCTCGCATAATATTTTATTTTGCTTCACGATGAATTTGTTGTGGGAGCTTTGATTTTGGTGCCTGCTTCACGGCGCTTCGCCTCGTGTGTCGGTTGCGGTGCTTCCACGTGGTGCCAAAGCGTTTGATGGGGTGTTTGCCCTTCTTTTTGCGCCCTGCAGCCGACCTTGTTTGGCCATGGCGGCAGCAGTGGGGCTCTGCGACTGCGCGCTTGCCGTGCGTGTCTCATCTTTTGCCGCTGCTCCCTCGTTGTGTTGGTGGGGGAGGAGGCGAGCGACTGCGTTGGTGGAGTTGCACCCCAGTGGAAGAGGGAAGGCACCGACCGCTGCTGACGGCGACGGTCTTTGCTGCAGGCAACGTGACGGGAGGACGTCACCGGTGTCACAGTCAACCGAGATGGATGAGGGCCGCACTGTGTCTCCCATCCCTCTCATCATCCCTCCGTCCACTGCAGTCACACGCCACACGCACCGCAGAGCAGCGTCGCGACCACCATCCGGATGTCTGTGAGCCAATCGGAATGCAAAATCGATGTGGACCTTTTTCCCCGTGTCTGAGTGCCGCCGTGCTTCTTTTTTTTTCTTTGTTGTGTATGTCGGGCGCGCATGTTGCCGCTGATTGCTGTGCAATGCCGACTCGCGTGAACGAGGAACGATGCTTTGACTGCTGGCGACCGGCGAGCTCTCCACTCCACTTACGCACCACCAACACCAACAACGACCTTTCGGACGCGCTTAATGGCTGGCGGTCGTAACGCTGCCACGTGGTCTGCCTCGGCTCTTGTGTGTCGTGCACGGCATCGGGACCGCCCTGTGATGCAGCCACTCGGTAACAGGAGCGGTGCCAGTGGTCATGTGGCTTTTTGCCGGGATTCCGCCACTCGGCACGGTGGCTGTACGGGGCTGTGTGGGCGGTGGGGAAGGCTATGGTGTCACTGAATTGATTGCGTCTGCGCGGCTTTGTGTCGGCGGCTGTACTGTGATGGTTATTGTGTATGACCGGATGCCTCTGCGTGCCACTGTGTTTGGTTACTGTTGTTGCTGCCTTTTATTCTTTTTTGAGCGTGCAGCTAGAGATACTTTGGCTTGACCAGCACAACTATCGTTTCAAGGTGTTAGGGATTACTTGCAGTATTAGGATTAGCAGTATTAGTATAACGATCTGGCGGAATTGTGTCACTGGATTCGCAATCTGCAAGAAGGGATTTTGAAAGCTGGAATTATGGTCGACGGGGCGAGTGCGACACACCACGACAGCCTTGTTGGTACTTGTTTGGGTTGGTGGATGCGGGGTGCGGTGGGTGCGTGTCCGCGCAGCCGGCACCGTGTGCGGCGCAGGGCCATTGCGGCTGTGCGTGTGGCGCTGCTTGTGGTGTTGGCGCTGTTTGCTGCTGCGGCGTGGGTGCCCGCGGTGCATGCGGTGGTGTTGCGACTGCGGGGCGGCACGGTGGACAGAGCCATCACGGTTGGCCGCGCTATGGACACGGTGCTGATGGACGGCGTGTACATCACGAACGGCGTGGCTGTGGTGTTCGACGTGGCGGCGATGCTTCCCGGCGCGCTGCGCATCGAAATGAGGAACTGCGTGTGCGACGGCGGTGCACAGATCTACGTGCGGGGCTACAGCGGCGAGCCGGCGAGTGACCGGAGCCTGGAGGTGAGTGTGAGCGGGCTGTCCGGCGGCTACTGCTCGCTTGTGTTTGTGCACAACCTGCCGGCACACACGAACGTGACGGTCCGTGACTCGACGATTGTGACGGCGGGACCGATGCGCTACTCCCAGCTGAGCGGGCTGACGGACGCGGTGGCGTCGCCGCTTGTGCTGCACGCGACGTCGCTGTTGCACACGCAGCTGCGTGTGAGCAACACTGTGCTGAGGTCTTTGCAGGCGGGCGGGTCTGCGGTGTACGTTGGCGGCGGCGTGGACCTGCTGTCGAGCGCGGTGGTGCTTGACGGCGTGTCACTGGAGGCGTCGGGCGGTCCGACCGCGTCTGCGATGCATGTGGCGTCTTTGTCGCGTCTTAGTCTGCGGAGCCACTCGGTGTTCTCCGTGACGAACGTGTCGGTTGTGAGCAGCGGCGGCGGCCTTGTGCTCGGAGAGCGCCTCGCGGTGCTTGATTCGGTGCTGCGCTTTGTGGGCGTCGAGGGGTCTGTTGCGTCGTTGCTGGTGCACTGCGACGGTGGGACGGTCGGAGCCGGCGGGTGGCTGGACCTGCACGACGTGTGGGCGGTGGGCGAGGCGTCGTCGGTGGCGTCGCTTTCGGGGATGACGCTGAGCGGCGGTACCGTGTCGATTGCGCGCTGCGCTGCCACCGGCGCGACGCTTGTCTCCGGACTGGCGATCACGAGCGGCGCCGTGTCCGTGCAGTGCAACCGTGCCGGCGGCCGGGTGCTGCAGAGCAGCGGCGACTACCGCATGGCCGGTCTGCCCTCCGTGAGCGTGTTGCCGTGCGACGGCTGTGCGGCAGCGCTGGCGTGCTTCGATGCGCTGACGGCGTCGTTCTCCGACTGCGTGTGCGGCTGCAGCGACGGCGGCGTGGGCGAGGCGTGCCTGCCGTTCGACGTGCCGGTTGCGAGGTCCGGCGGCAGTGGTGGCGGTGCGCAGGGCTGCGTGAGTGGCGTGACGGTGACGGATTCCGTGACGGTTGGCGGCGGGCGTGCGACGGCGTGCTTCGACTCGGTGGTGTTCAGTGGGCCGATCACTGTGGCGGTGGACCTGCGCTTGACGGACGCGTTCGCCGACGCGCTGAACGTGACGCTGCGCCACTGCGTGCTTGCGGGCGGCGCGCAGCTGCGGATTGGTGGCTTCAGCGAGAGCACGGCGCGCCTGATGCCCCACGTCCTCGTCAACATGACGAATGTGACGTCGCTGGAGGGCACGATTGTGCTGCGTGGCGCGATGCCGCTGCACTCGAGTGTGCTGCTGGCGAACTCAACGCTGCGCGCGACGGTTGGCAGGTCGCAGTACGTGCCGACGACCCCTGGCTTTGAGGGATTTCGGCACGGCCCCGCGCTTGTCCTGGACGGTGTCCGGCTTTTGTCGACGCGGTTTGTCATGACGCGGTCTACGCTGGTGTGCGGCGGGGGCTCGTGCGCTGCGATCCTCGTGGAGCGCGGCCTCGGCGTGAACCTGTCCAGCGTTTTCTTCATGGACAACTGCGCCGTCAATTCGCAGATGCACGTGATGTACGCT